CTCTTTACCGATTTTTCCCTAATTATTGGAATTTCCTCTTCGTCTATTACAAACTTCCTATCACTTAACTTCCCTCTACTTATTGAGATACTTCTAGACTTACTAGGCTTGATTTTCATACTAGCCCACTTTAAGTTTTTATTAAGTCTCCCAAGTACTCTTTTCATACATGGCACCGTTGTAGTTATCAACGTCATGTCATCCATGTAGGCCCTAATTGGTGTAAGGTGCATCCCATCCTGCCACCTCTCTCCACCTACAACCCACATAGAAGCTCTAATGATTACCTCCATCGCCATTGTGAATGCCAATGGAGAAATCGTGCACCCTGCCATAATGCCTATTTCTAGCCTCTGCCATCCTGTTGTAAAGCCTGCTGTACTTAAGCATAGTCTAATATCTTGGAAATATGACTTTACTAAATTAACCACTACTCCAGGCACTCTAAAATAATCAAATGCCTCCCAAATAAGGCTGTGTGGCACTGAACCAAACGCATTTGCTAAATCCAAAATATGACATGCAAGTCTCTTTTCTCTGTCTTGGCTGCCTGAATCTGATGCCAAATCATGCTAGTGTGCTCTAAACACCCTGTGAAACCTGGTATTCCTGCCATCTGTACTGCAGTATCTATTAAGCTATTCCTTTCTAAATAACTATTTAATCATTTCATTTCTCTAATAACTGAGAAAAGACAATTCAATCCACTAAGTAACAAAAAAGATAAATATAAAAATAAATATGTGTGATGAAATAACTCCTGTATCCATTTCCATTTTAGAAAACTCATAGTGTTATAACTATTTCTCATGAAAACAAATACAATCTGAACTTTATTTTAAAACATATTTTATTATTTTCTAATGTCAGAAACTCAGTAATGAATTCATGCCACTGTTGCTCCATATTTAACCGTTCTCTGTATTAAACAAGTTCAACAAGGGTGCAACACAAGATGACCCTCTGATGTCTGCTGGGTAAAATAATAAGTTACTATAAAGTGGCATGTTCTCCCCGTGCTTGTGTGGGTTCTCTCCGGGTACTCCGGCTTCCTCCCACAGTCCAAAGACATGCAAATGGGGACTAGGCTAATTGGTTACTCCAAATTGCCCATAGGTATGAATGTGAGAGTGAATGGTTGTTTGTCTCTGTGTGCCCTGCGATGGACTGGCGACCTGTCCAGGGTGTACCCCGCCTCTCGCCTGAAAGGATGCTGGGATAGGCTCCAGCCCCCCCGCGACCCTACTAGAGGATAAGCGGAAGAAAATGGATGGATGGATGGACTATAAAGTGTTTGTGGGTTTTAGTTCTGATAATATTATATATGATAAAGTGAGACACCCTGCCCCCACACACACACACACACACACACACTCCCTCTCACCATTCTGGTACCACATCATCCGGAAGCCGGACAGAGACACGGAGTTGTCTGATCTGAACACCACAGTGAGGGAGGAGCCAGTGCTGCTGTTGGCTGAAGGGGGTCTGTACCCACAGAATGAACCAATCAGAGGAGCCTGTGTGTTAGGTCCATTATAGAGCTGGGGAGACATATGGAGAGAGAGAGAGATGTGAGTGCAGAGTATAACACACAGCCATAATAATCCGGGCTGTTAGAAATGACAGGAGCAGCACCTTCACATAGTCGTACTGACAGCTGCTGGAGGTGGACTCCAGCTGGAAGGACGTGAAGGTGTAGTTGATGGTGTTTCCTCCAGTGGCCTGGATGGTCCAGCTGCAGTACGAGTTGTCTGGGTAGTTGTTGGGAAAGTTCAGTGACTCCAGCGCCCCCTTGTGTCTGCCTGAGATCAGCACGTCACGGCACTCTGAAAACACACAACACACTCTGAAATAGGGCTGGGACGATTATCCGACGTAATCGACGTTGTTGATTATAAAAATTATTCGACGTGGAATTTTAGTGTCGACGCGTCGTGTAAAACCACACAGGGTAAATGTTCATAGAACAAAACCGGAACTTTCTAATGGGACCGTTTATATCCATCGTCTTTGGTTCACCCGGATACAAGCGCAGCGTAAGGACTGGGACAACGCGGTGACGTAAGTGAAGTCATTGACTAAGTGAATGATTTGCGTCGGTGTAATCTATATGAACAACATGGCGGCGTCTACCAGCAGTACGACGGAGCGTGTGGAGCAACACACGGCAAAAAAGGCTCGCACACGGTCCTCCAAAGTTTGGGAATACTTACACTTGACACCAACAGTGCGGTAGTCTGCAGAATAATGCTCATGGTGGTGTTTAAGAAATGTTTTAATAAATATTGAAATGTTAAAAATGTTTTTTTTGTGTGTGTGTGTGTGTGTGTGTGTTGGACGGGGCAAATTGTTATATTAAATGACTAACTGGAAAATAATTGCAATAAAATTACTGTTAGGTTAATAAAAAGAATAATCGAAACAATAATTGCTAGATTAATTGTTTAAAGAATAATCGTTTGGGACAGCCCTACTCTGAAATACACACAACACACTCTGAAATACACACTCTGAAATACACACAACACACTCTGAAATACACACTGAAATACACACAACACACTCTGAAATACACACAACACACTATGAAATACACACTGAAATACAGACAACACTCTGAAATACACACTGAAATACACACAACACACTCTGAAATACACACAACACACACTGAAATACACACAACACACTCTGAAATACACACTCTGAAATACACAGAATACACACATGGCACACACTGATACACAACCAGGTCTGTGTTGCTTTATTGACGACTCTCTATTGATCCAGATTTATTAAATATAAGGTCCTGGATTGATCTGTATTACTGTCCAACAACCTTCACCAGGATGGATTCAGTGACACAACTCTCACTAACACCTGAAAATGTAAAACTTCATCCTTTAAACTGATCAGATGTCACAGACACAGATCCATTAAAACATCTGATCCAATGACGACTGCTTCCTCTGCTTCAGGACTTTTACCTGAGTACAGTTTGAATATTGAACCTCTGAACATCTGATGAATGTGATGTGTGTGTGTGTGTGTGTGTGTGTGTGTGTGTGTGTGTGTGTGTGTGTGTCCATACTGGAGGTGTATGATGCCACGAAGCCTCCGGTGCTGATGCTGCTGTCAGTGCGGAGTTTGATGAACAGCTGGTGACTGGAGGAGTTGATGCTGCTGGGCAGCTGACTGCCACACAACCTGGCTACCTCTGGAGCACTGCTGCTGTTCCCATCATGCACCTGAACACACACACACACACACACACACACACATACACACACACACACAAACCAGCTGTTGATCAGTGAAACCTAATGATGAACTCCTGATGATCATGTTACTAACAAAACATGGATCCCTCTGAAAAACACTGAGGATTAAAACCTGGTTTTATCCTCATGAACCTCCAGGTTAAACGTATAGGTGAGTGCTGTTTGTTATTAAAGGTGGAGTCAGGTGGAGTCATTCAGTGAATCAGGTCCGATGGAAGGAGCACTGATGGGAGGAGTTTATATGTTTCGCTGTTCAGTTCAAGTATCAACAGCATTTCTCCACCTTTAAAAACCATCAAGAACACGATCCTGAATCCACATGAATTATATTTACACACCTCCACCTCCTCACACACACAGTGTGTGGAAACTACCCCACCCCCACCCCCACCCCCCACCCCGGGGGGACAGTACTCACAGCCAGGTAATCATATGAGCAGGTGGAGCTGGACTCCAGGTGGAAGTCAGAGAAGGAGAGGATCAGCTGGCTGCCTTGGCTGGTCTTGAGGGTCCAGTAGCACTCAGAGTTAGGGTGGTAGGGCAGGGGGTAGTTAGGGGAGGAGAACCCCCCAGAGGCCGTTGTCAAAGACCCCCCACAGCCTGGAAGGAAGGAACGACATCACATGGAGAGTTTCGTTTGTGTGTGTGTGTGTGTGTGTGTGTGTGTGTCCCTCGTCCCTGGAGGACATGTAGTTCACTCTTTTACATGTTGATGTGAAGAACAGACATCCTCCTTCAGGTGAAATCACAAACATGGATCATAAAAATCTAAAGTCCTCCTCTGTCTCCCCCTGGTGGTGAGACCTGATCTGATGTTTCTGTTTGTTCTGCAGTGAACACTCTTCTTCTTCTTCTTCTTCTTCTTCTTCTTCTTCTACCTGTTCATTCATTATGTTTCTGTTTCTGTCTGATGAACCTCACAGGTCAAACAGCTCCTAATATAAAAACAGTGTGACACTCACCAGCTTGTGATCCGTCCCAGTGAGCGATGAACCCACTACGTGTGACCGAGGCGTCGGAGCGGAATCTGACCCACAGGCGGTTGCTATGGGAAACCAGGACCGGAGGCCTCTGACTGGAGCAGAACTTACCAATCAAAGGAGACGTCTCATAACCACCATCCCTGAAAGGACAAGAACTTCAGAGGGTCAGAGGTCAATAAAGGAGACAGGTGTGTCACCTGTGGACAGGTGGATTAAAAACCACAGTGTGCGCGTCAGGTATCTGAGAGGATGAGACACAATCTCACCTTGAGACTCATCTCACAAACATCATGCAGAGCGACACAGACATTCAAATGATACGTCTAAGATTCATTCATTGCTCATTTCTTCAGTTTTGAGAAGAGTCTGGATCCAGCCTCCTCTTCTCCAACCTTCATCCTTCTCTCACCTGATCTCTACAAAGTCAAAGCTGCATGAAGGAGGGGAACCCTCCAGGTCAAAGCTGGTGAAGTTCAGCATGATCTGCATGTTGACCTGAACAATGATCTTGAAGATGCAGTCTCTGTTGGTGGGGTAGTAGTTGGGGTAGTTAGGTGAAAAGAAGGAGCCTGTGGGGGCAGTGAAGGTCTCACTACAATCTGAAGAGAGAGAGAAACAGAAGCTGCAGCTTTATCTTCACATTAAATCACCTTGTTATTTCTCTAAGATGCTAACAGCTCATGCTAACAGTTCATGCTAACAGCTCATGCTAACAGTCTCTGGATTTCCAGCGGTTCACTCTTACACTCTCCGCTCACTCACACATAGTTAAAGACAAACACTTTGCAGAAGGTTGGTGGTTAATTGAATGACATGACTGATTAGACATCAGAGTGTACTTTAGTCCTGCACAGCTAATGAGCTCAGAGATTCACGTCATGTACATCTTCATCAAGATGTTCATGAGTGAGACTCACTGTGGTGCTCAGACCGATGGTCCTAACTGTTCTCTACACCATACACACACTGTTTATCAAAGTATCTTGTTTGTGTGTTTGTGTGTGTGTGTGTGTGTCAGTATCAATGTGTGTGTCTGTATCAGTGTGTGTGCATGTGTGTGTGTATCAGTCTGTGAGTGTGTCAGTGTGTGTGTGTATCAGTATGTGGGTGTGTCAGTCTGTGAGTGTGTCAGTGTGTGTGTATCAGTGTGTGTCTGTATCAATGTGTGTGTGTGTCAGTCTGTGAGTGTATCAGTGTGTTGAGTTCTGAGGTTTATCAGTCATGAAATAAACTGATCACCTTACAAAGTCTCTCATGTTTATAATATTATAAAATATAAAAATGATAATTTACAAGATGAATCATTGTTTTGGAGCCTCAGTGTCTGAACCAACAAAGTGGTCTCACTAATGAAAGAGGACGCTGTCTTCTTTAAGACCTCTTTGAGCTGGATCTTTATAGCTGTGTCCACACTGGTCACACCAGGACCTGAACCCAGGACCTGAATCCCCACAGTCCAGTCTGAACTCAGCGAGATGTTGTAGTGGAGGCTGAGCTGTGAGGTGAAGGGTCAGTGTGAGGTCACCTGTCTGACCAGGTGAGTGTTACCTGTGGTTGCGTTGATGGAAATGTAGCTGGCAGAGAATCCCTCTGTGGACAAACTGGAGTCTGTCACAAACAACAGAGTCAGCTGACTGTCAGTGCTGGTGATGGAGGGAGGCACCGAACGCCCACAGTACCTGGACACAACACAACACAACAGACACACACACACACACACACACACACACACACACACACACACACACACACACACACACACACAAAAGAGGGATCCACATTCGGAGGATTAGACTCTGTCAGACTGTGTGTGTTAAACACCTTCACTTTATTGGAGATTTAATTTTAAACTGTCACTCAGAAGTGTCTGCAGAGATGAAGAACCATATCAGCTTCTCTCCATCAATCACGTCTTTATGGTCAAGAGACATGAGACAGTCTGCTGGAGTCTGACTGACTTTAAAGACTCTGGAACCAGAGTCTGGTTCCTCCTGGTCGCGCACGCACACACACACACACACACACACACAGCACACACACAACGTACCTGCCAATCTTGGTTCCGGTCTCAACAGTCCCATTGTCGTAGACCTCCAGATAGTCCAGGTCACAGTTCGTGTGGTACTCCAGGTTGAAAGACTCAAAGGTGAGCCGGACCAGGTTGCCGGGGGCAACATTGATGTACCAGGTGCACCTGGCACCATGGGGGTAGTTGGTAGGGTGGCCAGGGCTGGTGAAGGTGCCTGAGGGACTGGTCAGGGTTTCACCACATCCTGGGTCAGGAGGAAGAGGGCAGATGGTCATCGATGGAGATGGTGGACTTCAGGAAGCCTGACCCTGAGTCTCTTTAGAGAAATCTGGGTCATCAGCCACAGACTTGAAGATCTCAGCATGTTAAAAAGTCAATGACACCCTTAGCATTAGCTTAGCATAACCCTGAGAAAACATACCAACGTACGCTGAGTATTTAAAAGCATCATGTAAAGGTTTACAGTGTTAACCAGATGAGAGTCTCTGGAGTTAATGTTTAGGTTCTGACCAGGACCAGCATGTTTACATTTCATCGCTGTGTGTTTCACTGTGATCACAGAGACTGGATTCAGTTCATGGTTTGAACTGCAAGAGGAGCTGAGTTCAAAGGAAATGGATTTAAAATCAGTTTGAAAGTGATGATGTGATATTCTTCTCTTCTGTTTCCACACAAGGAGCTAAACACAAAGTAAGAGACTGTCACAGTGAATCAGACTGAACGTGGTGTTTGTGTCTGATCATAAAAGCTTCTCACACACACACACACACACACAACACGCACGCACACACATACACACGCACACGCACACACACACACACACACACACACACACACACACACACACACACACACACACACACACACACACACACACACACACACACAAACACACACACAGACAACATCGACAGATTTCCCTTGCTGTTTTGCAGGATGCCACTAAAATCAAACCAAATCAAATCTTTAAAAATGTTTTTTGCTGAATAAGATCATCAGTGTGATTTCAGGATCCTGTTCAATGCGAAGTGTCTGCAGACTCTCACCCTCCAAGGCGGAGCTGTAGGCCGCCTCGAAGCCGTGGTTACTGACGGATGAGTCGGTCTTGAAGCGGACGTACATGGATCTCTGAGTGGTCTGGAGACTGGGGGGAGTCTGAACACCACAAAATGTCCCCAGCAGTGGAGAGCTGGACGTGGAGCCGTCCCTGACCTGGAGACAGAGGACGCATGATGACTGACCCACTGTCCCCCCTCTGTCCCATGAGTTCAAGGACATCACACATGTAGAATGTGTCACTTTACCTCGACAAAGTCGAATCGACAGGACCCCCCCTCAACGTCAAAGGACAGGAAGTCAAGTGTGACCACGTAGCCCTCTGGCTGGTTGATGACCCACTCACAGACCTTGTTGTGGGGGTAGGCGTTGGGGTGGTAGGGAGAGCGCAGCTGCCCAGTCCCAGACAGAGTACCTCCACAACCTGGGGTGGGGGAATTACTTTGAGTTTTAATGAACTGGAAAACAATTGTAATATTACATCTTTTCTAATCATATGTTATTCCAGTGTCAGGTCTGTTAACATGAACATGAACACAGTCTGAGACTGAGGCCGTGACTTTGTCAGCTGTTCTGACACTTTCCTGCTCCTCACCAGAGAACACATAAACATGATGTCATGTCACGTGTGTGTATAAATGTGTGAAGACTCACCCACAGTGTAGACGGCCCTGAAACCAGCCCGGCTCACTGAGCTGTCAGACCTGAACCGGATCCACAGGAAGTTGGAGGATGAGACGATGGGGGCTGGGAGGGTGGTCCCACAGTATTTGCCAATCAGAGGGTCAGTCTCCACACTGCCATCACGGACCTGAGAGAGGCGGGAAAGAACAGGAAGGAGACATGCTGAGTGTTCTGTACGTACAGCTTTTAGCCCAAACTGTAAACACAAAATGTAAACACAAACTATAAACACAAACTGTAAACACAAACTGTAAACACAAACTATAAACACAAACTGTAAACACAAACTATGAACACAAACTGTAAACAAACTATAAACACAAACTGTAAACACAAACTATAAACACAAACTGTAAACACAAACTATAAACACAAACTATAAACACAAACTGTAAACAAATTATAAACACAAACTGTAAACACAAACTATAAACACAAACTATGAACACAAACTGTAAACACAAACTGTAAACACAAACCATAAACACAAACTGTAAACAAACTATAAACACAAACTATAAACACAAACTGTAAACAAACTATAAACACAAACTGTAAACACAAACTATAAACACAAACTGTAAACACAAACTATAAACACAAACTATAAACAAACTTTAAACACAAGCTATAAACAAACTATACACACACCATCACTGCCTCACAAAGAAAAACACCTATAATATGTGTCATATAAATAATAATAATATAAAAACTCTATGGGCCTCATTTATCAAACTAAACATGTGGTCTAAAGGAGGAAGAGCATTCAGGTTGTTTCCACATCACTTCTGTCATTTTAACAGCAGAAAAAAAGGTTAATCAGAGTCTCTGAATGAATAATGGGAGTATTTTGGGTCTAACATGCAATAAACCAATCAGAGAGCCATCTCCCTTTCCCATTAAAAGCAAGGTGAGCTGCAATTTGGTGGACTGATATTATAATGGTGGATTTTCCAGGTGGTACAGGTAGTACCTGTAGACAGGTACACCAGGAATCCACCAACAGGTCTGGGTCCAAACTGAAGAAGCCTGCTCTGCACCCTCAGTTAAAGTCTATCAAAACAGGAGGTGGTGGACACACAGACTGAGGGCGTCTCCACGAATTATATGGAGTTACAACTGACCAGTCTGATGTGTGTAGGAGGTCCACCAGGAGTCCATTACGACATGTTAAATCAATGAATAGTTATAACTACAGATGAATGGATACATGATATAGTTACTGTTGTAATGCAACATTTCATTATCAACCTGCAGCCTGATCATTAGACACATCCTACCTCCACATAGTCGAAGGTGCAGCTGCTGTGACTCTCCAGGTTCATGTGCGTGAAGTTCAGGGAAACCTTCTCACCGGCCGGTAACCTTATCAGGTAGATGCACTGGCGGTTGTGGGCGTAGTCATTGGGCCAGTTGGGGGAGATGATGATGCCCTCGCTGTCAGTGAAGGTACCACCACAACCAGGGTCACCTGGAAACCACATACACCTGGATGAGGACTGTACCTGTGCCTGTCAGGACACGAAGCATGAAGCTGACACACTGAGGAGGTCAATATGTTGTAGAGATGAAGGTCAGTCCTCAGAGAGCGATACTGACACCATGATCTACATGAAACCTTCAGGTACAGCTCTACTGCACCATGAACAGATGAGTTGGACCAGATCCAGGTGACTCTCCTCAGACTCTGAGTGAACCCTCAGAACAGACTTCAGAGACCATGAGACCACTAATGGATCAGTTTGATTTAAACATCTTTAGCTATTCACCAAACCTGACATGAAACTCTAAGACATACTGTCTGAACAGAGAGAAACTCTTCATTATTAAATATGACAGATGTTGAACTATGACTGACTGAATCTGGAGCACATGAAAAAGTGTTGTACAGCGCCCCCTGTGGTTTAAATGACCTCAGAGTCTGGATGGAAAGCTCATAATCACCCTAATTAAGAAGAGCAAGGAAATAATGCAGACGACCATCACATTTAGCTGCTCTGGCAAATAAGAAAACATAATGTACAAATGTACATATGTACATGTTGACCTAAAGCTACAGCTGTAACAGAACCATCAACAGAACCATCTACAGAACCATCAGCAGAACCATCACTAAACCTCCTCAACTGAACTTGTTTAATCTTTATCTGGTTCTATGTAGTTATGCTGAAATTCAGTCACACTCATATCTAAATATATTTTATACATATATATCCTCTACTTCACTGTTTTCAAACCAACTATCTGAAAAAGCAGAAGATTTATACACAATTATATATATATATACATATATAATATACACAATGTATTATTATAGTATTAACCGTTAATTAACGTTATCTATCTTAGTCTGTTACAAACTTTATAAAGTTGAAAATATTTCCAGAAATAACATTTGAATGAAATGATGTCTGGTCATCAGAAGAGGATGAAGGGAAGAAGCCTGGATACTTCAGCGCACACCTCCAGGTTCATGTGTTCATGTTTATGTGTTGCTTAGCAACAGTACAATACCAGTCTAGTACCAGTCCAGTTGCTGTACTATTAGTGTTGTTGTAGCCAAATAAATGATAAAACAAACAAACAAATCATAATCTGTTGTTGCTTATCTAACTAATATGGCGCTCGTACAACTGTTGTATAAAAGCAATATCTGAGGGAGGGATGTTGTTCTGGATATCAGCACGGCTCTGATTCAGTACAACATCAACACCTCGAGTATGATATGGCTAAATTAAAAGTTGTGGGAGACAGTGTCATTCATGGATTGTGTTACACTGTGTTACATTGTGTTACATTGTGTGTACTTCTTGTGTGCACAGGTTCTCACTGGGTGATGTTGTGTATGTGATGTGGAAGCCTCGGTCAGAGACACTGGAGTCAGAGTGGAAGTGGATCCAAGCAGCTGGACCAGTGGTCCTCTGGGGGGGAGGGGCTCCAGTACTGCAGTACTTCCCCAGAACAGGGTCTTCAGGAAGAAGACCGTCCCGGATCTACAACGTGTGGCCACAAAACACAATAAATACAACAACAGTAGGAGTTTCAAGATTGTGTTACAGCACTAAAGATCATTGTGCTCGTCGACACACAGACACACAAACACACACACACCAACACACACTGATTGAACCTGTGTTGAAGGGATGGTTACAGAGGGGTGAGAGGAGCACACACACTCTATGAATATATGAATATGTGAATATATGCATATATCTATATATTGATGTATGCATATACTGTATGACAACACGTCTGACCTCCAGGAAATCAAAGGTGCAGTCAGGGTGATGCTCCAGACTCAGAGTCCCAAAAGCGAAGGTAATGAGCAGGCCTGGCTCGACTGTCACCGTCCAATAGCAGTCCCGGCTCGGTGGGTAGTTTCCAGGGTAACCAGGTGAGTTAATGTTGCCATAGGGAGCAGTAAGCTGGTCTCCACACACTGATGGGGGGGGGATGAACAGTAACTTGAAGACAGTGGATTTTGGTTAAAAGCAACAACCACAGATCAGTGTCTAACAGCGCTGGCGGCAGCTGACTGCAGTGTGTCTCAGTCTGAACATCGTTTCAGAATCAAAAAGAGAAGTCTTTAAGTTTTTAATTAGCCTGAACTAATCTAAGGATTACTCTAGACTCAGACCAGAATGAAACACCTGTACCTGGGTCCTGAGACTGCCAGACCACCGTGAAGCCATCAGCATTGACAGAGTGGTCGGAGCGGAACCAGAAGTACAGTGCATTGTGGGAGCTGAAGAGCTCCTGAGGGTTGTTCTGGCCGCAGTACTTCCCGATCATGTGAGCAGAGGCGCTGTCGCCATCATGGATCTGAAGGAAGTCGAAGTTACAGTTGGTGCTGCTCTCCAGCTGGAAGAAGGGAAAGGTGATACGCAGAATCTGCGGAGGAGAGAACAGAGTGAGACAACATGTGATGACATCATCACATCCACTGACAAAGCTCCGCCTCAGCTCGTCCTGAACACCTGTACGGACAGAAGCTGGACCACACCTGAGCTCAAAGACCAGGAGGTTCCAGTGGGCTGATCCTAGACTAGATGATCCAAGTGACGTCTACAACACTTTTACTGCTCTGAGTCACTGGTGAGTTCACCTGAGGCAGACATGTGGACTCTACCTGTCCACTATGGCACAGACTGTCACTCACCTTGTTGGGCTCGATGCGGATCACCCAGGCACAGCTGACCTGGTGGTCATATTCATCATGACCTGGGGTGTTGGGATAACTGAAGGAGCCTGCAGGGCCAGACAGGTAACCTCCACACTCTGAAACACACACACACACACACACACACACACACACACACACACACACACACACATACACACATACACACACACACACACACACACACACACACACACCCACACAAATAACCTCCACACTCTGAAACACAGACACACAGACACACACACACACACACACACACACACACACCCACACAAATAACCTCCACACTCTGAAACACAGACACACAGACACACACACACACACACACACACACACACACCCACACAAATAACCTCCACACTCTGAAACACAGACACACAGACACACACACACACACACACACACACACACACCCACACAAATAACCTCCACACTCTGAAACACAGACACACAGACACACACACACACACACACACACACACACACCCACACAAATAACCTCCACACTCTGAAACACAGACACACAGACACACACACACACACACACACACACACACACCCACACAAATAACCTCCACACTCTGAAACACAGACACACAGACACACACACACACACACACACACACACACACCCACACAAATAACCTCCACACTCTGAAACACAGACACACAGACACACACACACACACACACACACACACACACCCACACAAATAACCTCCACACTCTGAAACACAGACACACAGACACACACACACACACACACACACACACACACCCACACAAATAACCTCCACACTCTGAAACACAGACACACAGACACACACACACACACACACACACACACACACCCCCAAGGGGCCTTGCGTCCCGACAGTACCTTGCTGTGGGGTCTGGCAGAGTGGGCCGGTCCACTGGGCCGAGCAGGTACATGTGAATCCATTGGTGCCGTCGGTGCAGGTCCCCCCGTTCTGACAGGGGTTACTGGAACACTCGTTGATGTTGTGGTCACAGTTGACCCCCTCCCAGCCAGGGTTACAGGTACAGGTGTATCCGGGGGTTGAGGTGGTGGCCTAGGACAGGCAGACAGTCCGATTATTAAACACAAACACTGTGAATCTGAAACACTGTTAACATGTTTATGTTTATTCACTGATATGTTTGTATAAAATCTGTGTTGGTGTTCACCCACACACACACACTCACACACACACACACACACACACTCACCACACACTGTCCGTTGACACAGGGGTTGTTGGTCTGACAGATGTTGCTGGTCTGGGTGCAGCCTGTTGCTCCGTAACCGTTCCCTATGTAGCCTGGAGGACAGGTACAGACGGGGAAGCTGGAGGCTGGAGGGGCGACAAAATAACACACAGTCATCAAGATACATACTGCGCAAACAACAACAACACAAAAAACAACAACACAAACAACAGCAACAACACAAACAACAACAATAAGACAAACAACGACAACACAAACAACAGCAACAACAATAACACAAACAACAACAATAACAACAACAATAAGACAAACAACAACAACAACACAGGAAACAGTCTGTTGTCTGAACACATGGGAATGGGTTTTCTTTGGACCAAGTGCAGCTCATGAAGTTTATCAATACTTTTATCGGGAGGTGATTATTATAAACTGTAGGTTTGATTTACTCTGGTTTCACGATTGTTTTTCTGTCTCTGTGTCTGTCTGTGTTTATGTAAAGTTATATTTGAATTAAATCAAAGGTTCAGTTACTTTTTCCACTGTGAACATTTACTGTGTGTGTTCAATAAAAATATGGAAGATGATCATTGTTTGTGACTGTGATGAAGATCAGAATTTATGACCAGGTGTGATTCAGTAATATAACCAGGCGTTGTTCTTACCTGGGCTGGAGGAGCAGGTAGCCAATGGGTGACAGCCTCCGTTGTTGACGGAGCAGATGTTGCTCTGGGTGCATGTTCTCCCATCCCCCTCATAACCTGCACAAATAAAGAGCTGACATCCACCTGTCTGTACAGCAGGTTGACACCACACGTACCAACAGCCACATTCACCACCTGGGTATCCAGGTGTTACCTTCTCTGGTGCTCTTCCACACCTCATAGACTTGTAATCACAGTCATACCTGGGGGGCAGGAGCCGCAGTGGAAGGAGCCCATGGTGTTCAGGCATTGAACCATGGGAGCAGTGGAGCAGCCACCATTATTGGTCGAACATTCATCTACATCCTGACAGCTGTACCCATTCCCCTGCCAGCCTGAGACACACAGGTGATGAAAACAAGTGTCCACGTGTTCAGGCTGTAAATACAGTCTTGTTGGAATAATTGTATATATGAATTTATCTCATATTTACTAACTAACCATGTATCCTGCTTTACAGTCCTATAATCATGCATATAGTTTGTCATATGATAATAACCATGCATACAGTTTGTCTTGTGATAATGTTGTGTTACAGGGAGTAGCTGATAAAGGGGATCACGATGCACAGAGCAGACTGGAGCCGGATTGTTCTACTTCTACATCATGGGATGAACATTTGAACAATTTATCATCAGGCACCCGTCATATTGCTTTTGTGTGATTCTCAGTTCTTTAAGATAAGCAATGACTTGTAACTAAAGAATGCTTGGAATGCCTGGTGTGATAATAAAAAGAGAGGAGACGGTGGAATATGCTCAGAGCGGGTTGGAGATTGTAACTGAGCATATCTCTGTCAGTTCTCCTCGCGAGTAAGAAATAACGCTCTTGTCTTTCTCTTCTTTGTGTCAGTATTAAATGTCTTAGGTGGTGTAAACCTGACAAGTCTATTACAGTGTGACTCCTCCATGTGTATTAACCAGCTCTACATGTTTATTCATGTGACCAAAGTTGTTTTAGTGAGAGTGTGTTGTGACCTATGACTCATTAAAGAACCTGAACCTCTGCTGACACACACACACACACACACACACACACACACACACACACACACACACACACACACACACACACACACACACACACACACACACACACACACTCACTCTGGGCTCTGGTTTTGTGTGTGTGTGTGGGTTACCAGCAGGACAGGAGTGTGTGTGTGTGTGTGTGTTACCAGCAGGACAGGCTCCACAGTAGAAGGAGCCCTGGGTGTTGTAGCAGGGAACCACAGGGTTGGCGGAGCAGGGCTTGTTGGGCAGGTCACACTCGTTAACATCAGCTACACAGGCTGCGTTCCCGGCTGGAGCCTCCCAGCCGCTCTCACAGATACACTGGTACTTTGGCTGTTCGTTGGGAAGAAGGTAAAACTGTCAATCAACCAGGTCTGCAGTAAAATAGAGTCATGGACAGGAAGAAGGGAGGAGCTCTGTGACCACATCAGTCCAGGTCACACTGATCAATATCAGATCAATTTATTCCCTTCTTCTTCTGTTTCCTCTCATCATAACATCAGTGTGTTGCTGTTTCTTTACACCTTCACTGCCCATCATTAATTTATCCTTGTGAAAACCTCCATTAGTCTTAAATAAAATCATATCATTAGTTTAACCCTGAAAAACAAATCAATCATTTATTTGTGTTTGCTGTTGTTTTTGAAATTGAAATGATTTGTTTAGTAAAAACCACCTTCATGAATCTAATAACCTTCATCCTCTACTGAGATGATATTGTTCTGCTATACATACCGTATATATATACACTGAATGTGTAAAGTGGTTACCTGTCCAGGTGTAACCCGGTCTGCATCAATACATGTGCCGTGCACACACAGGTCCTGCCCTGCGTTCCTGCAGTCATCATACCTCACAGTGCAGAGGGGCCCGGACCACTCAGGAGGACAGGTACAGCTGCAGACACACAACCGCCATGTATAAAACTGATCACTAACCACAGATCATCAATACATCCTCACACACATATCTCATCACTTCCCTCTGCGGGTGTCAGGTCATACAGGAAGTTTCCTATTCAGGATGGCAGTGACTTTAATTAATTATAAGTATGGACATATATTTTATTAAACAAGTTCATTGTTGTATTTCGATAAATCTGTATATGCATTGACACATACTGCACACTGGTTTACAAGGAGGTGATAAAACCTCTAGGACTAAACCTGCAGACCAGGACCAGACAGGATCCACCTGGTCCTGGATTAAATGAAACGTGAAGCTTTAAGACGTACGTGAAGGATCCGGGGGTGTTGACACAGGTGGCTCCGTTCTGACACTGCTGAGATGTTCCTGAATACACCTGACACTCATTCAGATCTGTGGCACAGTTTGGACCCTGGTCCACAGAGCAGGAAGTAAAGAGGGACACACAGAGACCAGGTCAGAGTCCACCTGAGGAGAGTACTGACTGTAGATGAGCACACTATGGTCAGACTAACCCTAACTCTCTGTTAATGTTAATGAAAATAAAGTCGCTGTGAACTGTTTCTGTATTAAACCCAGATTTAGCCCTGACTTGGACCAGGACCTGTGAGTCTGAACAGAACCATAAACTGGTTTAATGATGTTGATGATCTGTGAGATCAGATATGAAAACAAACTGAACGTTTTACTGAGATGTTCAGAGTCAATGTGTCAGTGAACAACATTTCTTCATGATGTAATTGTTGTTGTTAAGTTCTAAATGAAGTTCTATGCTGATCCCTCAATAGACTGTGAATCATGTCAAACTGCTGTGGGACCTGAGACAAAAACCTGAGGGGACTTTTAGTGGACACGTAAACTGAAGAGTTTTCTGTGACAGACAGAGGAGCTCACAGTTACTGTGAGACTGACTCTGATTATCTGTGTCTCTGAAACATGAAAATTCTCAGGTTATAATCTGTCTTCATCATCTACCTGGTTAGCATGCTAACTCTGGTAGAAGAAGAGTTAACACTGGTGTTTGTTGGAGACAGCTGTTGATGAGTAACGCCTGGTCAGTAAACAGCTGTTAATGCTAATGTTAGCTATGTAGCAATAGCAACACTTACAAACAGCTCCTTTAATCAAATCAGAAAAGAAAGTAAATATTCCAGCAACAGAGAAGAATATACTGCAGTCTGTCGTATCATTAACAACTGGTATTGATTACTATTAATCCATGGTCAATAGTGATAACAGCAGTGGAGAACTCACAGCCCAGTTGCTGGGACACACACAGTGATAAGAGTCGAGCAGGTTCAGACATGTTCCTCCGTTCTGACAGGGGTTACTGCTGCAGGACTTCCTGTGGACCACCTGCAGGGGGACACGGGACACATGAGTGGACCCGTCAATCCACAACACACAGCTGATTGACTGATACTTTATTTATCCTCTAGGGGAAATGTCTCACCTGTTCAAGTGTAGTCACTTTGTTTTCCAGTGTTGACACCTGGAGAGAAGCATGGTGTTCGCCAAAATAAGAGCTTTTATTATAAACACATGATGTCTGTTTGGTTCCATCAAAATAAAACGTTATATTCATTATTAAACATGTTCATAATGATCTTGTTACAATGTGATTTTGTGTTTTTAAATAAAATGGGTTGAAGTGTTGAACAGCAGCTGGTGGAGACCTACCCTGGTGTCCAGCTGATTCAGCTTGTTGGTGACATCAGGAGGAACTCCACCTCCATGAGACTTAATGTCATCTATCTCATCTTTGTTGGTCTTGATCTGAGATCAGGTCACACACACACACACACACACACACACACACACACACACACACACACACACACACACACACACAGACAAGCTGAAATCATCATGAATATAACATTTATCCTTCATGTTTTCTTGTTTTATGTTATTTGTGTTGAATTTGGACAAAGTTTTGATCAGTTATTATTAATCCAGCTAATCAGAACATCACATGTTCCTCCTGACCTGCACTCTTTATTTTAATTAATATGTGACTGCTTTTAACTCTGTGATGTTTGACACATTTCAATAATTCATACAAGTACCTCCTAATGAGTCATAGTTCATTCATCTGTCACATGACTGCATGTTTGAATGTCTGCTTTGAATCTGTTTCCTGGATCCAAAGAGTCTGAGGAGTTGAATCAAGATGGAAGATACTTCAATTCTGACAGCTGACAGGTGTGTGACAGGTGAGAAGACCCAGGTATTTAACCTTGGTGAAATGTTGATGTCAGTTGGTTGTTGGAGCTCCTGGCTGTTGTTGGAGTCACCTGAGGTCAAGTGTGAATTGTTGTGAGTCTGGAAGGAAGGGGTGAAGGACTGTGGTGAACCTGATCCTGGTCTTTGGTCCTGTGAAACTGCTGCGTGTGCTTCCTGACATGTTAATGATTCGTGGTCTCATGTGAGCAGCAGCAGCTCTCAGCTGATAAGATGTCATAAAGAGACAGTTAGAGAGACAGCATGAAGATTCCTGAGTGTTTTATAATTAGTTTACAGAGGTGATGATGCTGATGAGCTGTAAAACAAGCAGGTCAACACTCAGAATAAATACCTGGAAACAGGTAGAGGAAGGTGACTGAGAGGAACATGTGACTAAGGACATGTTCATTCAGAAAGTTCAGACTCTTCACCTTTTACACATCTAAAATCATTTTCATCAATTTAGACATTTTCTATATATGTATTAAAAGGAGAGACTGAAATATCACATCGACAGAAGTATTCAGACTCTCTCAGCTCTGTCAGTGATCACAGCCTCTGGTCTTCTCGGGTCTGAACATCTGGATTTGTAGATTTCCTGTCTTTCTTCAGATCCTCTCAGACTCTGCCCTGTTGATGTAGACTGTGGTGGACAGATGTTTTCAGGTCTCTCCAGATGTTGAACTGGGTTCAGGTAAGGCTCAGTCACAGAGTTGTCTCTAAGCCTCTCGTCTGTTGTCTTGGCTGTTTGAACCTGCAGTCCAGAGGCTCTGTCTGGACCCTCTGACATGAAGTCCAGATCAGTGGAGCTGCAGTGATGGTTGTTCTTCTGGAAGTTTCTCTGGAGCTCAGAGACCATCAGAGCCTGGTTCTGAGGTCTCAGTTAGTCCAGGTCCAGGTCTAGAAGAGTCTGTCTGATGGAGGGCACTGTGCCTTGACACAATCCTGTCTCTGAGCTCTGCTCACAGGTGTGTGTCCACAGGTGGACTCAAGTCAAGGTGTAGAAACATCTCAGAGATGATCCAGAGAAAGGGAGGAACCTGAGCTGAATTTACAGAGTCATAGTAAAGTGTCTAAATACTTATGTCAATGTGCAGTTTCAGCTTCTCCTGTTGTTTTTGTTGTTGTTGTTGATGATCTTTGGTATACAGTACACAGGGGACAGGTGTCTCTATGGTGGAACAGATTGACTGTATTTTCTGTTTGACAGAACATAAATTATTTTCTTCTTTTATTTTATTATTGTGAGATTATTGTACAGATGATGAGACAGGTGTGCTGTAGTACAGATGTGCAGTTGTACAGATGTGCTGGAGTACAGTTGTACAGTAAATCAGTTTACTCTCTCTGCTTATTGTAACCATGACTTCAGTCCTGACACATGGACCACCTGACCAGTGTGACCTGATGAACCTGTGTCCTGTTGTGTTCCTGTTGGTCTCTGGTGGTCTGGACTCACCTGACTCAGGAGCTGGGTCAGGTCTTCATCACCCACTTTGACCCGGCCTGACGCTGAGGTCTGGAACCGGATGTCTTTGTTGTTCCCAGTAGTGAAGACCAGGTGACCATCATCTGACAGCATACGAGGCCTGAGGAGTCACATGACCAACACCCAGTCAGTACTCAGATCAGTCAGGTTCACAGGGTCAGTCAGGATCAGTCAGGGTCACAGGGTAAGTCAGGGTCACAGTCAGGATCAGTCAGGGTCAGTCAGGATCAGTCAGGGTCACAGGGTCAGTCAGGGTCATAGTCAGGGTCAGTCAGGATCAGTCAGGGTCACAGGGTAAGTCAGGGTCAGTCAGGGTCACAGTCAGGATCAGTCAGGGTCAGTCAGGATCAGTCAGGGTCACAGTCAGGATCAGTCAGGATCAGTCAGGGTCAGTCAGGGTCACAGTCAGGGTCAGTCACGGTCACAGGGTGAGTCAGGGTCACAGTCAGGGTCAGTCACGATCAGTCAGGGTCATAGGGTCAGTCAAGGTCAGTCAGGATCACAGTCAAGATCAGTCAGGGTCACAGGGTCAGTCAGGGTCAGTCAGGATCAGTCAGGGTCACAGGGTAAGACAGGGTCATTCGGGGTCACAGTCAGGATCAGTCAGAGTCACAGGGTCAGTCAAGGTCACAGGGTCAGTCAGGGTCACACTCAGGATCAGTCAGGGTCACAGGGTCAGTCAGGGGCACAGGGTAAGTCAGGGTCAGTCAGGGTCACAGTCAGGATCAGTCAGAGTCACAGGGTCAGTCAAGGTCACAGGGTCAGTCAGGGTCGCACTCAGGATCAGTCAGGGTCACAGGGTCAGTCAGGGGCACAGGGTAAGTCAGGGTCAGTCAGGGTCACAGTCAGGATCAGTCAGAGTCACAGGGTCAGTCAAGGTCACAGGGTCAGTCAGGGTCGCACTCAGGATCAGTCAGGGTCACAGGGTCAGTCAGGGGCACAGGGTAAGTCAGGGTCAGTCAGGGTCACAGTCAGGATCAGTCAGAGTCACAGGGTCAGTCAAGGTCACAGGGTCAGTCAGGGTCGCACTCAGGATCAGTCAGGGTCACAGGGTCAGTCAGGGGCACAGGGTAAGTCAGGGTCAGTCAGGGTCACAGTCAGGATCAGTCAGAGTCACAGGGTCAGTCAAGGTCACAGGGTCAGTCAGGGTCGCACTCAGGATCAGTCAGGGTCACAGGGTCAGTCAGGGGCACAGGGTAAGTCAGGGTCAGTCAGGGTCACAGTCAGGATCAGTCAGAGTCACAGGGTGAGTAAAGGTCACAGGGTAAGTCAGGGTCACACTCAGGATCAGTCAGGGTCACAGGGTCAGTCAGGGTCACAGGGTAAGTCAGGGTCAGTCAGGGTCACAGTCAGGATCAGTCAGGGTCAGTCAGGATCAGTCAGGGTCATAGTCAGGATCAGTCAGGGTCACAGGGTAAGTCAGGGTCAGTCAGGGTCACAGTCAGGATCAGTCAGAGTCACAGGGTGAGTAAAGGTCACAGGGTAAGTCAGGGTCACACTCAGGATCAGTCAGGGTCACAGGGTCAGTCAGGGTCACAGGGTAAGTCAGGGTCAGTCAGGGTCACAGGGTCAGTCAAGGTCAGTCAGGATCGCAGTCAAGATCACAGTCAGGATTAGTCAGGATCACAGTCAAGATCAGTCAGAGTCACAGTCAGGGTCACAGTCAGGATCAGTCAGGATCACAGTGTAAACCAGGTTCATGGTTTTATAATCTCTAGTTATTTTCCTCTGTCATTAGTGAGTTTTCATTGTGAAACAGTAGAAGCTGTTAGCTCATTAATAAACATGAATAAATAGTAATAAACATTAATAAACACTAGAAAATTCCAGGGAAATTTTGAGTGCCACGGGGGCTACTGCCGGGATGAGTACATGATTTATTTCCAGTGTTCAAAAGTCACCCTATTCTATTCTTTGCACATATATATATATATATATATATATATATATATATATATGCAAAATCAGAGTGAGATTCTTCTGAAAAAAAAAGATGATTACCTTAGAGTCATTGGGGATCAAGACAGGTATTGCTGCCGGTCTCGGCCCCCCCATTTAAATTTTATTCAGACCCTGCCTGTCAAAGTTACATTTTATGAATCCCAACACCTATGTCTACATTTTGGGAAAAACAATATTTGTCTCCTTTTTACGGTTTGGCCGTGAGCTCGAGTTAAAAAAAAAAAAAAAAAAAAATTAAGGTTATTTTTTACTGCTTCACGCACTCTAGCCAACTGACACTGTCACTCTAACTTTGAAGAAAAGGTGATTTCCACTCCTCCTTTGAGTGCTCATAGTTTGGAAAGTTTACATGTTGTGTAAAAACAGTTTGGTGTTTTGGAGAGAGCAGAAGTTTTCCTCCGTTTTATAGTTTGAATCACATTTCTACATACAGGTATGAGAGAGCTAGGTGACTCAGAAATGAGTTAAAAACTTTTTTATTCAAGAGAAAAAATCTTCTGTGTCACTGTAGCGATGACATCACGCAGCCCTTGGCTGTCAGAGGTCAGGTCAGGAGCTGCCGTTGCCATGGCAATGTGAAAATCTGCCCAGAATTTGGCTTCTACATGGCTTCAAACAATTGCAAATTATGAGCAAACCGTTACTTCTTTTCAAAAACCGAAAACACCGTGAGAGACACTGAAGCCAGAAGTTTCTTACAGTCTCTATTTTATTCAGATATTCCTTAAAATGAGTGAGTAAGCTCAGTGCGAAGACAGAGTGAGATTCTTTTGAAAAAAAAAGATGATTACATTAGGTGTCAATGAGAGTGAGACAGGTATTGCTGCCGGACTCGGCACCCCCGTTTAAATTTTGTGCAGACCCTGCCTGTCAAAGTTACATTTTATGAATCCCAACAACTATGTCTACATTTTCAGAAAGAATTATTTGTCTCCTTTTTACGGTTTGGCCGTGAGCTCGAGTTAAAAATAAAAATAAAGGTTATTTTTTTACTGCTTCACGCACTCTAGCCAACTGACGCTGTCACTCTAACTTTGAAGAAAAAGTGATTTCCACTCCTCCTTTGAGTGCTCATAGTTTGAAAAGTTTACATGTTATGTAAAAACAGTTGTTGTGTTTTGGAGAGAACAGAAGTTTTCCTCCGTTTTATAGTTTGAATCACATTTCTACGTGCAGGTATGAGAGAGCTAGGTGACTCAGAAAAAAGGTGAAATTTTGTGGGTTTTTAAAGAAAATTCCAATGCATTCCTAATGCATTATTTATTCCCAGTATTTTGGGAATAACTTTGGGAAAAATTGGAATTTTAACACCAAAAGTCATAGCACCCCTTTCGGGATCAAGACGCACGTTTTGATGTATGTATTACCGGGGTTTTCTCAAAGCTGCGGCCCGAGGCACTCCTCTCAGCTATTCTAGCTGTAGAGGAGTGCCTCGGAGCTGAGCACCCGTGGCACTAATTAATACACATTAATACATGTTAATATACATTAAAACCTGATTCTAGATGATCTGAAGACCTGGCTGTAAATAACTCTGGCTCAGGTCCGTGTCTCTGAGTTTATCAGCTGATTTAAGTTCATATTGAAGAAATCACTGTCAGAGGAGAAACGTGATCGGCCTATCACACTGATCGATCACTGTAGAACTCACTGATCGATGCTGACCCTCCTCTGGTCCCTCGGCTCTCCTTGCAGTCCCAGCAGGAGGAAGAGGAGGATGAAGAGCAGTGTCCTGGCCATAGGGAAAGACGTGCTACCTGGACACTCCACACAGCTTTACTGGGGTGTGATGTGCTGCCTCTCTAAAGATCACTGCTCAGACTTTGACCTGACACTGGAGCCATAAAGAGCATCACATTTAACCAAAGTGGAGTTTATCACATGACTGTGGCAGATCAGTAACCTGCTGCCTGTGTGTCTGTTTAATAACATCTTACTGTAAGAGGTCCCTGAAGGCATCATTACAATATCATACATATTTATCACAGTCACATGATCAACACTTACGTTACCTTCAGAAAATATCACCTGTTTTTACTGAAGTCAAACCAACAGACTGAAACTGAAGAGAGTGAACGGCTTTCTGATGGAAAACTTTAAAACTCGAGAGGTTTAAATACATTCAATTTAACAAAGGTCGTTAAAATGAGCAGGAGTATATTAATTAACATGGTCCTAACAAACATCTATACATCTATAGATTTAACAAACTAATAATGAATTCTGAATAAATTACAAAATTATTTCAATGATTTATTTCAATGAAGTTAAACATGAAAGAAATGAACCATCATTGTTTTATTTTACTTGCCGGGTTTATGATACTATATGTTATATTTTAGTCAATCTTCATCATCATCAGATTTCCATGTCACTGATGTGTACAGATAAACTGTAGTCACAGTAGGCAGGATGAAGATGATGATATATGAAGGCAGGTAGTATTTTCAGTTCTGCTCATTCAGACTTGAACATTAGTCCATGATAAAAACCAAATGTACAAACTCTTTATGTCCTGACACTGTGTCACCTGTCTCCATAAACACACACACACACACACACACACACACACACACACACACACACACACACACACACACACACACAGTTAGTGATCTGAAATCATGTGAGAAAATAAAATGAACAACCGGACGTGTTTTTATGGTGGAAATACCACTGACACTGTTAGAGGACAGTTCAGAAGAATCCAGACCAGCTCCCACACTGAAGTGGTTTTGACTGACCCCTCAGAATCCTGTTTGTTAAAGTCTTGTCCTACAGGTAACGGTAACAAGAACTCTTCCCTGTTTAAGACTTTGTTCATCCATCCATCCATTCATTCATCCATCCATCACTGTAACTGACTGGCAGCTCCAGTTCTTGGTTTCTGCAGGTGTCAACTGTGAGAAAACAAAGGGTTAAAGCAGAGGTGTCAAACTCTGGCCCGCGGGCCAAAAATGGCCCGCAGTGTAATTATATTTGGCCCGCGAGGCAATACCAAATGACTTCTAGAGCTGGCCTGCCGATATTATACAGCGCATGCACCGCTAATACTACAAATCCCAGAATGCTCTGCTCGTGTTTTGGTGCGTCAATCAGTACAGGACCCATTAACACCCTCTCCTTTGTTGACAGTAGTCATAGCAACCTCATGCTGCTACTGGTACCGTGCTACCCATCCCAAAAATGGCGAAGAGAAAGGCAGAAAACAGGAGCTTTCTGGGAGGCAGAATATCTGTTTACATGTGTAAAAGACAGACCTGTTTGTCTTGTATGTGGAGCCAACGTGGCTGTAACCAAAGAGTACAACATTAGACAACACTATGAAACGAAACATCACGACAAGTACAAGGACATGGACATGACTCAAAGACGCCAGAAAGTAGAGGAGATGAAAAGAAGTCTGGTTTCACAACAGACTATGTTCAAAAAAGTAATATCACAAAGTGAGGCTGCTGTAAAGGCGAGTTTTATTGTGGCAGCAGAGATCGCAAAATCAGCCCGGCCCTTCAATGAGGGAGAGTTTGTGAAAAAGTGCATGATGAAAGTTTGTGACCTCGTCTGCCCAGAGAAAAAGCAAGCATTTTCAAATGTGAGCCTGAGCAGAAACACAGTAGCTGATCGCACATGTGATCTTGCCACCAATCTATATGACCAGCTGATGGAAAAGGGAAAAGATTTCGTTGCATTCTCCCTTGCTGTGGATGCGAGCAGCGACACATCTGATACTGCCCAGCTGGCAGTCTTCATCCGTGGAGTGGACTCAAATCTGTGTGTTACGGAGGAACTTTTGCGTTTAAAATCACTGCATGGCACAACCACGGGAAAGGAAATCTTTGAAGAGGTTTCCAAATGTGTAACTGAAATGAAGCTGACCTGGGATAAACTCGTGGGATTAACGACAGATGGTGCGCCAGCGATGTGCGGTCAAAAGAGTGGACTGGTGGGCAGGGTACGGGAGAAGATGCGGGAGGAGAACTGTGCGGGTGAGCTAACTGTTTATCACTGCATTATACATCAAGAAGCACTGTGTGGCAAAGCCCTAAAGATGGAACATGTTATGACCACAGTAACACGAATAGTTAACTTTATAAGAGCCAAAGGTCTAAATCACCACCAGTTCAAGTCTCTTTTGGAGGAGTGTGGTTCGGAATACGCAGACGTGCCTTATCACACAGAGGTGAGATGGTTAAACCGAGGAAAAGTACTGAACAGATGTTTCGAGCTCCATGAGGAAATATGTCAGTTTCTGGAAAGCAAAGGGAAAGACACAGCAGAGCTCCGGGAGCAAAAGTTTCTGTGTGAGCTGGCCTTTATGTGTGACCGGCGATTTGCCGACTTTGATGTCCAGAAATGTAGGTTTGAACTGCTCAGTAATCCGTTTGCAGTTGACGTGGAAAACGCACCTATCAACCTCCAAATGGAGCTGATTGAACTCCAGTGTAGTGACACGCTGAAGTCAAAGTATGATGCTGTGGGTGCCGCACAGTTTCCACATTTCATCCCTGACACAATGCCTCAGCTCCGCACCCAAGCTGCTCAGATGCTCTCCATGTTCGGCAGCACTTATCTATGTGAGCAACTGTTCTCCTCCATGAAGATGACCAAAACATCTCACAGGAGTCGTCTGACAGATGAACACCTTTGCTCGAACCTGAGGATTTCCTCAGCTCAGAGCCTGAGCCCAGATATTGATGAACTAGCATCCAAGAAGAGATGCCAGGTATCTGGCTTGAACACAGAGTAGATCTGTGTGTAGCAAACTGAGCTACAATTAAAGTTGTCTTTATGCACTTTTTCTTTCTAGTCCAAGGCATGGGCTTGAATATTATATTATTTTTAAATTTATTATTAGCCTGTGGAAAAAGATTACTGTTAAATTTAAAGAAGGCTGCAAATAAAAAAAGAGGCAAACGATTTTTATTTAAATTTTATTTAAGAAATTAATGCCATTGATGTGTTTTTTTTTTTTTTGAAATTCGATTTTGCATGTGTGCAATATTAAGCTATATCAAGCTTTGTTTGTACCATATTGTTTGAACTTGTTTGGGTCCATTTTTTCAATAAATATCAATGTTGGCCCGTGACTTTGTCCAAGTTTTAAATTTTGGCCCACTTTATATTTGAGTTTGACACCCCTGGGTTAAAGTGACCCTGGTCATTGTTGATTCAACTTAATATCTGATGTAAAAAGAACTTGATTTTTCTTGTAGCTCCCAACTTGGACTCTTTATAAAGCTGTGTATTTTGATCTTCGGTCTGAGACTCAGTGTGAAACTGAGTGAACCTCAGTCTTTATAACCTTGATTTTGTTCTAGAAGTTTCTGCTCTGACTAAAACCACAGACCAGCAGGAACTGACTCACCTGCTCCATCCACTGGAGGGAGCAGGTGAGCAGCTCTGTGTCTCAGAGCCGCTTCACTGTTTTGTGTGAGTGAATCTCACACTTTATCTCACTGTTGCCAGGCAACCAATTAATTTTATCATGTGCTCATTATTAATGTTTAATTAACTCATTTAGATCTAATAAATATCTTCTTGTCACTGAGATAGAAACAAAGTGAGAGTTCACTTCTTCTGATTATGAGACATTTCCTTCAACAGAAGGTGGAGCCCCAGAGTTCTGCTACACAAACAAACAAACAAACAAACAACTGTACTTTAGGTCATTTTAGGTCTTTATTTCAAACAGTAGAAAACTGTATTACCAAGCTGTAGAAACAGATGTGTACTGTTCCCTGAAGTTTCTGTAACTTACTCTATAACTTACTCTGTTCACTGGTGATGTCACTGTGATGTCACTGAGGTATCTTTGACCAACATTTGACCAGTTCACATCCACTAACACTGGGCAGACAGCAGTCTGTCATATAGTCCACAGAGACTAATAAACAGTCTCCTCCTCTTGTTGCTAGGAGACTAGCAGCTGTAGCAGTCTGGACACCACCACAACATTCAGACTGTTTCCTAGAGCTCTGTACTGCTGCAAGGTGGAGACTCCCTCTGGAAACACTGCGGAGATCCATCCCATAATATCATTACAATATCACATACAGCTCAATATCACATTTAAAAAAACATCACTCTGTCTGACTGACTGTTGTAACAGCCGACTGACTGATTGTTGTAACAGATGACTGACTGACTGACTGACTGTTGTAACAGCCGACTGACTGACTTACTGAAGCTCTGGGGGAAGCCCATCAGATTGGCCACTTCTCTGGGAGTAAAGTAACGAAGTTTCAGCTTCAGCAGCTGCTGCACTTTCTCTTCTTCAGAGACCTGATCCAGACCAGTGAACACACTCTCCATCTGCAGAGCGTGCACACACACACACAAGTTTTTATTTATGGGGGGGGGGGGTACAGGTTGGACAGTGGCAGGTGGACTGAAGTCAAACTGACCTGTGTTTCTGTGCAGCCCTGCAGCACTGAGCCAGTTCCCTCCACATAGCGTCCATATCTGAGGACAGAACATGTCCACACAGTCAATCACTAATGATCATTGATCAGTGACTGAACACAGACACAATAGGAGGTTCACCACCAGCACTCAAATCAGAGGGAGACCTGACCTGGACCAGAACAACAGTCCAGACTCTGATGTCACAACACACACACACACACACAGATGAAGGTGTACCCACCCCTTGGTGAAGCAGACGGACCTCCTGCAGGTGGGCTGAACGATGTCTAGCAGCAGAGCGTATCTCAGCAGGGTTCTGGGAGGGAGGAGGTGCTGCTCCAGGTCCTCCTCCTTCTGAGGCTCCAGGAAGTCCTGGATCTGCCTGATGGACAGATCCTGGTTCTGACTCCTCTTCCTCTGGGCATCAGCTGCTGTCTCCAGTTTGTACAGGACCTGACCCTCCCTCACTTCCTCTTCTGACTGACAGCTACCTGGGCAGGTAGGACTCAACACTGTGGGCTGCTCAGAGGAATCAGCCTCAGCAAGGTGTGGAAAGACATCTGGAAGCTGTATACACACTCTGTCAGAGGTTGATGTGTGTGAGTGCTGATGTCATCATCGAACAAACAAACAGACGTCAGTTCATCCACTTCACAAAAACATGTCTGACAATTATCCAGAGGAACTGCTTCAACTTTTTACATCACCGACAACTGACTGACTAAGTCACCTGTGACCTCACCTCTGACCTTGCCTGTGACATCGCCTCTGACCTCACCTGTGTACTGAAGCTTGTTGACATCTTAGCGATGAGGAAATAGCGCAGTCTGGAGTTTGGGATCCCGACCTGGATTTGAGAGATAAAGTGATGATAGTTAAACTTATAATAACTTTGTATGAGCTCCACAGTACAGGTAACCACTGGTAACGGGTAACCACAAGTGACAGGTGACCACAGGTTTAATCATTCAGAGTGAGTTTGTCTTACACTTGTGGGTGAGACCATGAACTCCTGGAATCTGTATCCACATCCTGTCAGTGTCTTCACCAACAGTTCTCTGAGAGAAGAAGAAGAACGTGAGGACAGACTCACCTGCGTTTAAAAACACCGCAGTGGATTTATTATACAACATGTTAACAAGGTGACATGGTGACACGGTGTTTTGGTGACATGGTGTCATGGTGACACGGTGACATGGTGATATGGTGTTATGGTGACACAGTGTTATGGTGACCTTTCAGGTCTGTTAACAGACCCTTGCTGTCTCCATCGTTACCTGGCAGCGGAGCTCTCAAAGCCTTTCACATTCTCCAGCAGGATGAAGCGAGGCAGCCTGTGAAGCCTGGACAGAGGAGGAGAATGTGACAGAGGTTAGTGACATCTCCACCTACAGAGCACCACTATCCTGCTACACTTCCACTGTGGAGAAATGTCAGTGACAGACTGCTGGCCTCTGATCGGAGGACTGAACAAAACAGAAATTGAGCTGCTTCCTGAATGGGATAGGAGTGATGAAAATGTTTTCATGGGTGGTTTTAGCAGCAGCATCACAAACAACATGCAGGATCTAAACAAAGTGCTCACACATGAAGGTGGACACCAGGAAATGCTAGCAGCTATATATAGATAGTTATTACATTGTAAAAAAAGAACTCTGAACTCTGTCAAACTGATTCACATCTTAAAATAACTTTTACTGTGGAGATGAAAGACCTCGGCAGAAGGTCAAGGACGTAGAGGAAGCTCTTTGTTCTGGGGTCACTGATGTCACCCTGAAGTCCGATCCTGTATCGACACAGAAACAAAAACCTTTCAAAATAATAAAAGACATTTAATATAGTGATTCAAAAACAAGCTGCTATGATGACAAACTGACAGTGAGGTGTTCAACGCTACATGATTCTACAAACGTAGACTAGAATCATCTCCTCCACCACTCAGACTAGTTTCAGATTACATCCCTGTTTATCCAGAGTCATATAAAATATTAACCAATTGTTTGTTTTCTGAGGTCACCTTGACCTTGACCTTTGATCTTTAGCCACCAAAATCTAGTCAGTTTGCCTCGAGTTCAAGCGGATGTTTGTACCTAATTTGAAGAAGTTCCTTCAAGGTGTTACGAGATATTGCGTTTACAAGGCCAAAACTGTTTTGTGAGGTCACCACAACTGTGACCTTTGACCCCAAAATCTAATCAGTGCATCATTGAGTCCAAGTGAATGTTTGTGCCAAATTTGTTTAGTTCTGTTGAGGCATTTCTGAGATATGGAGTCCATGAGAATGTGACGTACATGGATGGACGACCAGAAAACAACATGGCTGCTGCTCTGGCTGTCGCCGTCATGGAGGAATGAAAAAGGACCAGAGGGACGTAAACACCAGACTGGACTTCATCACCTGCTCATGTTTTACATCACACTTCTTTGGGCTGATAGTTACAGTTTCTAGTCTGGAGCTTGTTCATGTGTTTTATATATACAGAAGAGTGACGTCATGTTAGTGCAGGCACACAATACAGAGCTGACATTAAATACTGTGGCACAGCCTGTCCGGTGGCTCGCAGTGCAGGTGAGCTAACAGAGTCACAGGTGAGCAGGAAACCATGACAGTGAATGAAAGCTTCATGTCCTCTACGCCTCATTCATACATATGGTCAACTTATATTGTCTCATTCAGCTGTTACATGTGGACGGAGAGAAAAGCACATCGTCTGACTGAGGTGAGACCCACCTGGTGAATGGCTGGCAGGGAGGGCTCATCAAAATCATGTCAAAAGACAATTTATTGAAGTCATCCAGTGCTATGCCCTATTAGGAAAACAAACAAACAAACAAACAAACAAACAAGAACATGAAGTTTTTCTAATGTAAACGTCAGTGTTTTATCTGGATGATACTTAACTGATTGTGTTGAATATATTTTGATGTCAGTGAAAAGATAATGAAGTAAAAGTGACTTAATGATTAACAGTTAGTGCATGAAGAATTAGCACAGACTCGTATGATGATTGATGTGTCTTATTTACACTGTCTCAGTTACTGTGTAGAGCTGTGGTGCTGCCCCTGGACTCTGGCTCTCATGGTTTTATAATGGATAGAATGTGGTTCGTACAGAGGCTGATCAATACATGGATATAACATCAACCCTTCTGGATTCAGATCATTTGGTAGCGTTCATCATTACATCATCACGGGTCATGTGGTGTTAAACAGTACACCAGTATATGATCTGTCACCTACCTCTATGGTCTTGTTCCAGAGGGGCGTGTCAGGGAAATTGTGCCTGTAGATCTGATTGGCCGTGGTGTTTATGTCGATGGCAGCCACTACCTGGCCAGGTATGCCGCTCTCTTCAGGAAGAGAAAAGAGATACAGATTTCTGAACTTGATCCAGACAGTATTTCATTAAACAGCAAATCCCTGTGTATAAACCTGCATGATTCATCACTGCTTTTATGATCTGATCTAGTTTTCAAACAGGTCCACTAACAGGGTTAGACTCAGAGTTAACTCATGGACACAGTCCAGGCTCCTGGCTCCAGCTCAGCTGGGATTTGAGTCACATGCTAACAGGTAGCTATATATGAGGATGAAGCAGACCTTCCACACCTTTCGGATGAGCAATTATGGTCTGGTGTTCACATATCGCTGATGGTTGTCTCCAGTGTTCAGGCTGATTCCCATTTCACTGACCTATTGCCTCATTCTCAGGTCACATGTATCTGACTTCCTGTGGCAAGTTAAACCTGATGTCAGATAGTCAGCTAAAGCAAAGTCTCTGTAATTCTGAAGCGCACAAAGTTAAATGTAATAAGCTAAATCAAAAGTGAAGTTTTAACCACCTGACCTCCTGGACTGAGTCTAGAAATAGCCACCTGCTCTAGTCTAGACCAGTTAGACTGAGGTGCCATCAGTGCATCAACAACAATTTATAAGTGGAGGATCGGGACAGGAAGTGATTATTAGAAGAACGGCTGTTTCATATTTGAAATTATATGTATAAAAACATTATGCATCTAAAATGGTCGCAGATGTCAGCCTACTAGATCATCTTATAAAAGAGACTCCTAACAATGTGACTGGTTTAATTAAACCTGGTTAAACAATGTTAAACCTGCGGCCATCTTTAAAGTCCAACAACTGAAACAGTTCTGTTTACTGCTCCACCAGCTGCTGTAGTCACAACGTTAAACAAGAACGAATCATCTGAACTTAACACATCATTTAACCCACAGTATCTGAACCCGACTGTTGTTCCTGAGTGAATGTTGTTATCTGAGCTAACAACACTAGCTACTGCACCACCAGCATCTTTCCCGCTCTGCATCCGCTTTCTCAAACAGTCTGGACCCTGCAGTTATATAGTTCAACACGGTGTACTACTACTACTACTACTACTACTATTACTATTACTACTAATAATAACAACAATAACAACTTTGTGGACTGCTGTTGTTAGCTCGCTTGCCATGCTAGCTCCAATAAGCTTCCTGCCCCCCCCCGTTTCTGGACCATGTTCTGGACACACCACGAGAATAAAGTTCGGCAGACGGGTTTTGGTGGCGGCACCGTGAGTGGATAGGAAGTCACTGGTTCACATGGAAACACACTGATATGAAACACCAGTGTGACTGTTGAGTATGTGGTTCGGTTCTCTGCTCCAATAAAAGAATTTTGTCAGTGGGTCCAATAAAATAAAGCAAACTACGCTCAGTATCTAACGACCAGCTCACCCTTCAGAGCATAATGCATCCCTCCTATCCCACTGTAGAGCTCCAGCACCCGGAGACACTCCATGGCACATTATTGTCGTCGTCGTCGTCGTCGTCCGTCCGTCCGTCCTTCCTTCTTTTTCTCCTTCTTCTTCGGGGTTTTACAGCAGTTGACGTCCATTATGTAGCATTACTGCCTCCTTCTGGTTTCACCCATCCACTTCAATCTTGTAGCTCGGTTTCCTTGGAAAACCTGAAGATACATTCTCCCCTCCGCCGTGTCCCCACACTCAAGCACATCCTGGTCTCCGTAGTCTTGTCTCATAGCTCTTCTCTACATCACAATAACTAACACATTATAGAGCAGTTCATAAGACTGTCCATATAACAGTAATTAATAATATAAAAAATAACCATTATCATTGAAACACACCTTCCCCCACCCTTTCTGCTATAGGAAGGGGAATGGCCATTGGAGTCTGTAGATCCAGTCTGCTACTCACTGGTTGGCAGCAGAGGAGGGAAACTAGTGTGAGCAGGACTGTCTGGAAAATTCTGTCCATAAAAACCCAACTTCTTCTAGACATTTCCTGCTGCATCATCCAAAGGAGAGTCACACATGGTTTTTCATTCTGCCTCTTCTAAAAAAGAAACAAGCCTTCGTGCCTCTACAGTCTAGTCTAGTGTGTTCAGTGAAACTGGTTAAGACTAGAGAAATACCAGGCAGATTTTAGGTCTGACTGTCCTCTTGAACTGAGACTCAAATCCTGTAGTGTGACGGATTTACTGTCATATTACTGAACTATCTATATGTAGAAGTTTGTCTGTGCAGCAGTTTACATGTTATATTTAACTGCAGTGGCACTTGGACCATGTCCTTGTTGTTTCATTGTCCAGTCTACATCGCAGTAAATGTCTGACACCCTGTGAATCTGATGTCTATGTCAGTGTTTTAAAGAGCTGGATCAGACTCACTTAGTGAAGTGGATGTTGTTTGAGTGAGTGGATTTCATTCTACTTCAGTGCAGATGATCAACTGATGAACTGTGTGTAAGTAATGGACGTATTCATCTCAGCACAGGTCTGTGTTAGTGCACTGTGAGTTTCTGTCTCTTCATTCGTTTCAGTCACATGCTTCATATATGTCATGATTGATTCCTCCATTTCTTTCTAGTGCACTTCGTCACATTTTGCTTTGCTGATCTGATTCTAATGCACAAATTGAAAATGCTCATAAAACAGGTGAAACCTGTGACTCTGGAAAATGAACAAACGTGTGGACGCCCTGACTCCTTGACGCCCTGATGCCCTGAAGCTGGTGTGCTGCAGTTCAGCCTGAACAGGGAGTGTGTGAATAGCAGCTGGTATCAGTTGATTCAGGTCCACAGGTGTACAGGTGTGTGGGGGCTATGTTTGCCCTGAGGGACAGACGTGACAATCAGTGACCACCTACACTGCTTCAAGCTAAACTTGGTCACACTAGGCTGAGTCAGAGGATTTAGAATGCAGGGATATGACTATTTCCTGGAGGCTCTAAGTGTAAATCACACCGTGTGTCACATGACCTGTAATATGTTGGAACATGTGAAGAATTCACTTCATCTTAATGTACAGGAGGCAAGTTTGACATCCACATTCCACATTTACAGTTTATTTACAGGTGACATGAAGCTCCTACATGTGAGTCAAACTTCCAGCTGCAGCTCATCACATTTAAATTGACGGGTAAATTAATGCAGAAACGTAAGTGTTTTTATGACACTGGTTCACCTCATGTTTGACCCTGAGGAGGAGACACTGTGTCTCTACCTTTAACAGCTGTAGTCAGTCTCCATATGAACGTCTGTATGTGTGACCTCAGGCTCTCTCGGAAGATAATGCCATTTGTCTTCTCCTGTCACTTGTTCCAGCGTGACTGTACTCTATGCCCATTAAACATCCAGCTGACACTCAGAGGTCAAAGTGTCACAGCTTCAGCTTCACAAAGTGTATTTTCTGCCCACAAAGAGAGACACATTTCTCTGGTTCGTTCAGGCTGCTGTGGCAGTCAGAAGAAAATGCATGAATATAATAAAATCCAAAATAGTTAAAGAGCATCAGAAATAAACTGACATCCTCTTTATCTGAATGAGCTGCTTCATCTCCTCTAACACGGAGACTGTTTTAGTTTCAGGCGCTCTGAATTTTAAATCAATGAACATGAAGGAGTTCTGGATCGTACCAGGTCTGCACTGGTCCAACATCTTCATCTTCATCTTCATCTTCATCTTCATCTTCATCTTCATCTTCGTCTTCATCTTAATCTTCATCTTCATCTTCCTCATCAGACAGGTGATGTTTGGAAGAAACTGACAGTTTCAGTGTTGTCAGATAAAAGACCAATCGTGCAGACTGACTGGAACAGGGGGGTTAGGGGGGTTGGAGGGGTATTCCATCAACATCACTCTTCGCTTACTTGAAAAGTAATTAATGTCAACTTTCACCTCAGGCTCAAGCCGTTCCTTTAACAACATTTAGCTGAGGTTTGTCAACGTCAAGTCAAACCAAGCTTGGATTAGCCCAGACCTGTTGATTGTGGAAAAGAAGATGATGCCACAGAAAGATGGGAAAAGAAGAGGCGTCTTCTTCTCAGCAGAGGAACAAACCCTGCTGATTAGGGTCACCACCCGACCTGTATAATACGTGATTAATGTGATTATTACAGTAAACTGGACTGGCCCCTGAACACGGATGCCATCTAACGGAAGGGGCATAGCTGACTCTTTTTCCTCAGGTCGTTTGATGTATGTAGTGAAATGTTGCACCTGTTTCATCTGTCAGTGGTGGACTGGACTGGACTGGACTGGACTCTATCTATCTATCTATCTATCTATCTATCTATCGATCTATCTATCTATCTATCTATCTATCTATCTAATGTCAAGTAAAACAAGGTTGCTGAAGGTTAAGATAGTTATTTATTTAATAATTCATAAATATGATTAATAGCCTACATTATTAATATGACAATGCACAATTTCAAACCTCTACATAAATAACCATATCAATCTATCCTGTATAATTCATGAACATAAAGCTGCACATTCAAAGAAAACATGTTTTTACAAGCTAAGGAATAGTCTCTCCTTTGAGGGGGGGTCGACCCTAGTTTACGAACATGGACATGAAGAAAGTGAAGCAAAACACAGTGAGTTAAGCTTGACAGTTAGTATACTATAGAGCAGGCTAGTTCAGCAGTATCAGTTACCAAGGTTACTGAGCAGGGAATCCTATAAGGCACAGTGATGGAGCAGAACTCTGACTTATATTACTGAGACTTAAAATAAAACAAGATTTTCCTTTATCTGCCTTGATGGAATAGGGCCCAGGTTTTATTATCTATCTGGTGATTGGATTTTATTTTGTTACTTCAGATTTGAAAACTGGTTGACAAATAAAGATCATTATTATTACAAAGATGGACCAGTGACTTTGTCCCTGGGATGATAAAGGCCTGAACTGAAGGTCTGTGCTGTATTTTGTCTGTCAGTATGTCTCAGTTCCACAAGGACTTTCTGAAATAACAATAACAACAACAAAAAAATGATAATAATTAATAATTAATAATTAATGATTAATGATTAATGATTAATAATTAATAATAAAAGTCATAGAAAATAAAATAAAGTGTAAACTCTTTTTATTAGGTTTATGGTCTTCTTACAGGAGAGTCTGTCTGTATGAAGGTAACTGAACTTCTCTCATCTGAAGAAAACTAAGCAACAAAAACTAACAGGACAAACTGCTTACAGCTGATTTTATATTGATGCTATGGAAGAAACAGGAAAGTGTCTCATCAGAGCTCTGAAGCTCAGACTGTAGCTGTCTGATCAAACACTGCCCTCTGCTGGTGCTGGAGAAAACACACAATTCATCTGTAATGGATCAGCGACAGTCAGTGATTTTTAAAATCTCACATTATGGAACTTTATCACTGTGGTTTTAATGAACTGATGTTTTCCAATAAAGGTTATTTATTTCTTGCCAGATCCCTGATGTCTGTGTGGTAAATGCACACTGTCTGTCTCCTCTCGTCCATGTGACGTGTCCTATAATCAGCTGTAATGTTTGGACTGATTTTAACAGATTGTTTGTGCATATTAAAATTTTACAGTTTTAGACCTGATGTTTCTCCTTTATGAGGTCGACTCTTTTCTCATGTGTTTTATTCTTGTACTTGTTCAAGTATCGTTTGGACTCAAAACTCCTTATTAGTCCTGAAAGAGATCAGGTCCTGGTCCCTAACACAGAGGTCCTGTAAATACTCATACTTATTTACTCATGTTTATTTACTTATGTTTATCTACTCATGTTTATTTACTCATATATATATATATAATGTACACAAAGGAAGAACTGGATATGGAGTTAAACATCCCATACTGGCTGAGCTGAAGAAGCCATACCATGGATGCAGAGCCGGGGCTAAGCTAAAAGCTAGGAGATGGAGATATAAGCCTTTTCTACCATCGATCCTCATGGGAAATGTCAACTCCCTGGCTAACAAGTGTGATGAACTGGAGACACTTGTGAAGAACCAGCAAGCATATCGTGAGTGTAGTCTCATGTGTTTAAAGGAGACCTGGTTAAATGACAATACTCCTGACTGTTGTGTGGATTTTCCCGGCTTCACTGCAGTACGAACAGACAGAGACGCCAGAGCAAGTGGGAAGAATAAAGGTGGAGCACTGGTTCTGCTTGTGAACAATAAATAGTGCAACCCCGGTCACATCACAGTGAAGGAGATGATCTGCTGTCGGGATATTGAACTGTTGGCAGTTGGTCTTAGACTGTACTATGTACAGAGAGAGTTCTCTCACATCATTGCCATTGTTGTTTACATTCAACCATGAGCAGAGCCTGCAGTCGCATGTGATGTCATTCACAAGACTGTTGTAAGAGTACAGACCCAGAACCCTGATGCATTCATTACAGTATCTTGGGATTTTAACCATTTCACTCTCACCTCTCACCTGATTGGCTTCACTCAGTATGTTGACTGTCCCACAAGGGAAAATAAGACATTGGATCTGTTGTATGCAAATGTCAAGGAGGCCTACACTGCTTCAGCTCAACCATCACTTGGCAG